CCCAAAGAGAACAGAGGATGTTCCTGGGAGCCTCCCAGATAATTTCCAGTGTGTGTGTGTGTGTGTGAGTCTGTATGTGCATATGCAAACTTTCTCCTTACATTTTATCTCCCGTCTAGTTTAGGGTCTTCTAATCTAACAGGTGGCTGTCCAGTCTTTTCTTAAAGGTAAATCCAGTGATGAAGCACCCACAATTTCCAAAGACAAGCTATTCCACTGGTTAATTGTTTTCACCGTTACAAAGCTTTTCCTTAATTGTAGGTTGCTTCTTTCTTTGATTAGTTTCCATCCACTGTTTCTTGTCTTGTCCTCTGGTGCTCTGGAAAACAAGTTGAGCCCATCTTCTTTGTGGCAGACTCACAAATATTGGAAGACCACTATCATGTCACCCCTATTCCTTCTTTTCATTAAACTTGCAGACCAGTGGTGAGATTCAAAGATGTTTACCACTGGTTCGGTGGGTGTGGCTTGGTGGGTGCGCTTTCAATGCGTGCACACACTGTGTGTGTGTGTGTGTGTGTGTGTGTGTGTGCCAAAGGCACATTTTGCACAAGCGCAGAGTCGTTCCAACTCACTTCCTGCAAGCCTGCATTCGTCCTGTCACTTCAGCAGCTGCCATGCAACACTCTGCTGTGCCGCGCAAAGCAGCTGTGTTTCAAAAGCAAGGAACAAAGGTGAGTATGGGAGCCCAAGTGGGTCCAATAGCAAAACATCAGAGGACCAATTTGATCTCTGCTGCTCATTGGCGCTACCGGCTTAGCCGAACTGGGCCGAACAGGTAGAATACCATCACTGTGGTAGACGTACCCAATTCCAGCAACCGTTCTTCGTACATTTTAATCTCCAGATCCCTAATCATTTTAGTTCCTCTTTTCTGCACTCTTCCCAATGTCTCAACATCTTTTTTTTTAAATGTGGCACCGAAAGTAGATGCAGTATTCCAAGTGTGGACTTATTAAGGTTTTATAAAGCTGTACTAATAATTCACCTTGATTTCAATACCTTGATTTGATGCAATCGAGCTTCAAGGCTTGAATTCTTCTGAAACAACTGCAGTTCAGTAAAAAATAATTCACGATTACTTTTTAAAAGCTGTTCCTTGAGCATGGGATACATCTAATTTATTAAGAACGCAGAGTTTCAAGCACATAAGACTGCTGAGCAGGAAAACTGTCTGGCAAAGGCCTCACTCAGTTTCACACTTCATCTCAGCCAGCCATAAAGAATCCAAGATTTCAACAATTAAGGCATTCGTTCAGCTCAATGCACCTCATATTGTTGGCTATTTACTGAGCAAAGGGATCAACTATAAATATTACAGGCAGATGGGGAAAACATCTGCAACCTTTTAGAGCATATCCAGAAATAATTATAAGTAGCTTTTTCCCTTTATTTTTTTTCTTAAAAAATAACCCTCTAGGATTATTACCTCAAATGAAATAAGTGGCAGTACATTTAAGGGAAGGGGATTAATGGAAAAATTGGGACTGTGTCAAACTGCTAAAATGAACCATCACAGCATTGCTGTAAAAATGGACAAAAATGTTGTAAGGGTCAGATTATAGTAAACGTTCCAAACAATAAGGGTTGGGTTAAGTGTGTATATGTTGGTGGGTTTGTTTTTTGGAGAGAGACAGGGGAAAAAAAGAAAGATAATATGTGTATTGGGAAAGCTGTGAAGTTTTTACTTAGAAATATTTTTAAAAATTAGCCTTTTGCAAAACAGCCAAATAGCCCCCCCAAAGTATGAATTATATAGGCATATTATACAACAGTTTTACTTCAAAAGAATTCTTAGTGCTTTACTCAAACCAGAAATACTATTCTATTATGGAATATTATGTAAAGCCAATGCTTTGGAGAGGTTTTAATAATTAACACTGCATTCAGCTAATGCTTTAGAGAGAGAAGAATGTAACAGTGAATGAAAGACATCTGAAATGCCTTTGAATGAGATGATTCTGCTTTTTTCTTCTTGAGAAGTTAATCACTATTGTCATCTTCAATCATGTGATGAGGTGCCATGTAGGTCAGTGGCCTCCAATCTTCGGGCACCAGGAACTGGTTCTGAGGGGAAAGAATTTCCATTTTGCTCGCTACCTAGATCCCATGCAGATAGAGTTTCGCTCACTTCCACAGACAAGTTCCTAGTGGACCATGGACCAGTACGGGTCTACAGACCAGGGGTTAGTGAAGAAACAAGCCAACAAAGTGGTTTTCCTTGTTTCTGAAGGTAGGATCTGAGCAAACTGCTCAAGATGACAACAATTTTGACTAAAAGTTAGAACACCTATACAATAGTGAAACAGATCATCTTAGAAGTGGGTTCAAACAGAGGCTGATAGTCATCAATCCAGGATGCAGTCAAGACCTTAGATGACCATAATGAAAAATTCTACATCATTGGTCTAGACCTGAGAGAGGCAGATTCACATTAGCCAGGCTCCTTGAGTTTATTTCATTGGGTTCAACCTATGAAATGGAAGAGAGAAATCCATTTTTGCTGTCCTGAGCAGAATAACAGAATAAAAGCATTGGAGGGGACTTTGGAGGTCTTCTAGTCCAACCCCTGCTCAAGCAGGAGACCCAAAACCATTTCAGACAAATGGCTGTCCGGTCTCCTCTTAAAAACCTCCAGTGTTGGAGCATCCACAACTTCTGAAGGCAAGCTGTTTTACCGGTTAATTGTTCTCACTGTTAGGAAATTCCTCCTTACTTCTACGCTGGATCTCACCTTGATTGCTTTCCATCCATTGCTTCTTGTTCTGCCTCCAGGTGCTTTGGAGAAATATTGTGACAGAACTGATTTCCTCAACTTAGATGGGCCACTTCACCCTTGAGAAGTCTCTTAAGCATTCTCCTAATTGTCAAAACAATCATTTACAATTGATGATTGGAACTAATTCCTGGTAGTAAAAAGGGTTAGCAATTACTTTTCTGAACTCTTGGTGTCTCTCAACATATGCTGTGTGACTGAGATCTTAGATGGAAGTTCAACAAAGTTTTGTTGTGGGTGCTCCAACACCAGAGATTTTTAACAGATTGGACAACCATTGTCTGAAGTGGTGTAGGGTTTCCTGCCTGAGGACGGGGTTGGACTAGAAGACCTGCAAGGTCCCTTCCAACTCTGTTCTTCTGTTGGTTTGCACATTCTGAGACACTACATATAGAAGCAGATCTGGTGATACCTAAATCTAGTCATGTCACCACAAAGATTACACTAAAAGTTAAATTTCTACCCATTCTTTACCTCCAGAAGTTGTGACTTTAGATGGTAATAAGACTACTTTTCTTAAACTAACAGCTTTAAAATTACAAGACAGATTGAAAACTAGGGTTACTGAATAACCCACAATAATACAAACAAGAAGAGGTGAAGACTAAATTAGTCTTGATATATTAGAAGCAGTTATACGACTTCATAAATATTTCTCAAAATGTAAATCCAGAAATCAGCAAAAAAAAAAAAAGTTTCCACAGCTGTTTCTATAGTTCTCCTTCCCATTTGAATTCAGCCAACAAATTAGATTTAAATGAAAACCATGAACACAGGATGTTTCATTTCGATATGTGAAGGTTAATGCAGAACTGGCCACATTCGAAAATGTTCATTTCTTAAGCAGATGGTAGGATTTAAATATCACCAAAAAGAAAGGGTAGAGGGAAAGAGGAGAAGACTAAAAAAAGACCAAGTCAAGACAGCAAACATAACCCTATCTAATGCACTGATCATACCCAGCAAAGTATCTTCTTGAGAAAGTATTTTAGTCTTGGCTTATCCCAAAAAGCTACATACTGAGTGTAATGAGAGACGCTTCTGCAATTCACCTAATTCCAGTCATTCTCACAGAATCCCATCCAGAGGGATGGGAAAAATAAGTCTAATATTACTACCAGTGGCAGCAGAAGACCAAGTGCTAAGATTATAACTTTTCTTTGTGACACACAACCCCGTGAAGACTTGTGAGGGATCTTAAGGCAACTTCCACAGAGGAGATAGAGAGGCCTACCACAGCGTTCTCCCTCTGAGCTCCATGTACACCTTATGTTTGTAG